ATCATAAAGGAGAACCAATGTGTGATGGGATCCATAGAAATTGTCTTTAATTCCTTTGCCCCTAATTTTTTGAGATCTATACCTGGCTTCTCCAATGGCATTTTTGGATCATTATGTGAGTAACAGCCTTCAATGATAATAAAAAAGTAATGATAAGAGTCAAGCTCATATCATGGGTTACTTTAGCCCTTTAGGGTTTTTGCAAACAATTCAGTTTGCATGTAACGCCAGTTGTTAATTTTTATGCCTAACTAAACAAATTTTTTATCGTTCTTAACTGGGAGGGGGCACAAGAGCAGATGCAGCCCCCAAAAGACTCCTGTTTAGATCCATCATTTATAATTTTTGGGGATAACTTATTACTACACGGTGAAAAATTTTTGAAGTTGCCTAACAAAAATTTAAGGAAGGGATTACAGAAATAAGCTTCTTGGGGGATTGTGGGTATGTGTTTAAATGAACATCCCCATGGGGGGGTAAAAATGCTCTTGTTGCCTACATGAACATTCATGCGGGTTATAAAACTTAATGCAATTGCACGTTTTCAAAATCCATTTGATCTGTGTGTATTTACCTCTAGCACTTGGTAAGATTCACTGTGACATGTCTGGTTCGTTTCTCAACATTCTAAACCGGTACAGTGTTAATTTCTAACCTTCACTGTCGAAATACCAAGCTCCTTCCCCTTTAAAAATTTTGTAATCTGGGGCGCCAAGAATAAAACCCGAAGCTTTATTTTGCATTAATCCAAGGGTCGGAGAGAACTTTCTCTAGCAAATCAACATGGGGGCAGCAAATCAATTAAGGACCTAAAAATAGGCTAGACATCATTCTCCGATTTCACATTAGCACCATAGTTGGGGTTTTAGCCAAAACAACAGCTTTGAGACATTTCCTAGCTTTTTCATTTATGTTTAGTTGGGTATAGTGGATTTTTTTTTAAAAGGGGACATCTACACCAAGATTCGTAAGTTTTAACGTAGCTAAAGATTTCACCCTGCAAAAAGATGGGGGGGGATGTCGTTTTCTTGTTAATCTTTGTTTTAGAGGAAGATATTTTGACCCTAGTCATTACAAAAATTGCTTGAACTTCAAATTTAAGAATGGACTCTTCTTAGCCCTGGGGTAGGATATGAAATCAAATTTTAGGGGGTTCTTGTTTTATTTTATGGGAGGTAAGCATTTAGGGAAGATTAACAAATATTAAATAGCATGGGATGTCCCCCCCGGTTACCTAAGGCATTTTTTAGAACACTTTGAAGCCCTTGAAAAACAAGGAAAACCCATTTGACAATCCTATTACCGGGTAACTAACCCTTTTATTTTGGCTATTTCATTGTATAAGGTTTCTGTTCCAAAACAAATGCGTTTAATCAAGAAAATGGTAAAACAGTGAAAATTTGGGAGTAAAAGGTGGAAATTTTAGTTCTGACCACAAATTTTCCTTTATGAACCCATAGGGTAGGGGAAAGGGGTCTTTCTGAGTAAGGAAGATCATTTTTAAAAAGTTTTTAAAAAAGAAACTATAAGGGGATGGAAATGATCAGCTGTTTTTTAGAACAAATGAAATTGGTCCATGTAAGGGGAAAAGCCCCCCCTTTTAAAATTATACAGTGAAAAAAGGTTATCAGGCCTTTGCCCTTTGAGCTGAGAATTTTCAAGGTTTAAAAACCTCTCCAGGACAGTTATCGACCTTTTTGGGTTAAGATTTCAATTCAACTCGGTAGAAAGGGCAAATCCACTCCTCACCATATTTTGGCTCATAAATTAAACATTTCAACTTTCTTAGAATACTCTCTAAATTTTTCTAATTGAGAGAAAGTTTTCATGCCCCGGATTTTTGGACCAGTCATTTATGAGGTCTTTGCTTTTTTTTGAGGAAAAGGATGAGCAAAAATTCCCCTTTTTTCCTGGTTATTTTATTTAACTTTCCAAGCCAAATCAAAGGGGGGGACCTATTTAAATCCACTAACAAACTGTTCCCTTCCTGTTGCCTAAGTTCTTCCTTTCTATTTCTTGCATTTGTTAGTGCAGCTTGGAACGTTCTGAGCAGGTCTGGGGTTCTACATTCACGGTATGCTTTACCAATCCTCCTAGCTGCATGTGTTAGATTGCGTAGCTGTGGATCATTATAGTATTTACATTGGTTTTTTATTGTTATTTATAGTGGAGGGTCTTTGTTTCCTATTCCTGCCCACTTGATCTGTGAGAACACTCTCAATAGTGGTAATTGAATCATCATTAAATTTTTGTGTGCCAATGGGCTCGTAATTCTTATACCATTGATCCAAGTGGTTAATAAAGTTGTCTCTGTGTTCTGGTTTGAGAATAAGTTTCCTCCTTCTGTATTTAGCTCCTTGATTGCTGGAGATGTGATCAAGATTGACAGTTGTTAGTCTTGGGAAGTGATCAGATAGAAGATCATCAACTATGACAGAGTCATGCATCGTATATGATGTATTAAATCCAAGACACAGATCTAGTATGCCACCATATATGTGAGTAGGCTCAGTAGTGCCCACAATTCGAACATTATCATGCTCATTTAGCAATTTCACTAGTTTAGTTCCATTGGTGGTTGTTATAGACCCACCAATATTCTTATGTCTGGCATTAAAATCTCCAAGAATGATGGTAGGTTCACTATTGATGCGATCTGGTAAAGCATCAGGTCGAAGCTGATTAGCTGGGGCATAGAGATTAAAAATGTTTATGGAAAAATCGCCTGCATGTACTTTGACACCATGATACTGCATGTTAACTCGACTCTGCAAGGAAAGGAGTGAATGTGGCAAGTTCTTTCTGACATACATCACACAACAGTTGGTTGACCTTAGGTTATAAGCTGCATATCCAGCCCATATGAAGGTGCGTAGGGAAACAGCGTCAAACCAAGAACATGTCTGAAGAAAAACATCTGTACATACCAGCTAAGGGATTAAAGAGCCAAACACATGCAGAAGTAAATGCTTTGAAACTTCGTTAATCTCCATTTCCAACATAATTACACAGAATAAACGTAACTTCTTTACCTCTTTTAAGTTATAAATAAAAACCTTGGACGAAGAAGAGGACACTGTAGCCGTGTATGTGCCGGCTCTGGAATAAAACCGTACAAAAATATGATTTTTTTTTTTTTTAGTTTTATTATACCTGGAGTTTACCTGGAGAGAGTTCCGGGGGTCAACGTCCCCGCGGCCCGGTCTGTGACCAGGTCTATATATACAAAATTCTCTACAGTCTTATAATATAAAGTATTTGATATTCTGTAATTTGTGTACGTTCTATGTAGTGTGAGACAAGAACAACAGAGGGATTAAAATAAAAGTATCTGGAGAGAGTTTCGGGGGTTAACGCCCCCTCGGCCCGGTCTGTGACCAGACCTCATGGTGGATCAGGGCCTGATCAACCAGGCTGTTACTGTTTACCGCACGTAGATTGACGTACGAACCACAGCCCGGCTGGTCACGTACTGACTTTAGGTGCCTGTCCAGCGCCTTCTTTAAGACAGCCAGGGGTCTATTGGTAATCCCACTTATGTATGCTGGGAGGCAGTTGAACAGTCTTGGCCCCCTGACACTTATTGTGTTATCTCTTAGCGTGCTCGCGGCACCCCGGCTTTTCGCTGGGGGGATATTGCACCGCCTCCTTTAAGACAGAGTAATGTTGAAGGTTTGAAGCTGATCGGCTGAGACATTCACGAAGTATCGCAACAAACAAACATTTTAGTTTTCACAATTTCTTCAGTAAAACTGACAGGGGCACACACACACACACAACCCAAAATCAATGCACACTTTTTTCTAATTAAGATATACCAGCATTTATGGTTTGAAGCCGATCAGAGGAGGCATTCTCAGGTTACTGCATGGAAAATACATTCTAATCCTATTTAGTTCCATCCTGTTTATTAGGCGCATCAACATTTCACTAAGAAAATATTTCAAATCAAATGACAAACTGGCACCTACACTGCTACACACTCCGATAGAAATCAAAATATTAATTGTAAGGAAGGCCTCTAACATGCCTAGGCATTTCGGGCAGACTAGTCCTAATTTTTACTCTGAATTAACACAGGTTATGGAGCAGTACAGTTTAATATCTAAGTAGCATACACCAATGTACAAAGTTAAATTATTATACATAGCAGCATATGTGGTTCGTACGTCGGGTTGCGTGCGGCCAACAGTAACAGCCTGGTTGATCAGGCCCTGATCCACCATGAGGCCTGGTCACAGACCGGGCCGCGGGGGCGTTGACCCCCGGAACTCTCTCCAGGTATGTGTAGAGAACCTAGGATAACCCCAAAAATTCACACAAAACCGAAAGCAAAACCTGGAATAACCATATACCATTGACCAGACTGCACCTGTCCATGCTAATAGTTGAACCTCCCTTGTCACAGTACACCAGCGTTAAAAAAAAAAAAAAGCAGATTGGGTACCTTCTCAAGGTTTTAAAAAAAATTCTTTGGTGATAGGAAAAAAAAAAACATTTTGGCAACAACTCCAGGTAACTTCTAATAGACTTCTTAGGGGATACCAGTTAAGGTAGACATGGTGGCTGTTTGCGTTGTTCTGGGTTAATAACCCTCTAAGTTAACAATCCGAATAAAATCCTGTGTTGCTACCTGAGTCTCGGCACTGTGGTGGCTGGCACCTGCTTGGCACTGTGTTCTGACACACACCTGCGACTCTGGCTTCAGATCACCAGTATACTATTGTACTAAATACAAGTTGATACCAAGTGAATGTATATCTTCTGTACTAAAACAAACTAACTGTTAAAATGTCAGCTTGCCATTAAAAAATATTTATATGCATACATATCAAACTTCCTGGATTTAATGAACCCATCTGATTTTTTTAATAACTAACAAAAGTAGTTTACAAAATAGAAGCTAGTTTATAAAACAGAAGCTCCAAAATTAATTTTTTAAGGCTTATAAGAAGAGAAGAAGAAGAAGAATAAAACAACATGTTTGTATACAGATTATTACATAAAAGGTAGTGTAGTGTGACCTGGGCAGGTTTGTCAGGTTCACCGATTCACCAGGCTGTTGTTGCTGTTGCTGCTGCTGCTGCTGCAGCAGTAATATTCAACATGTCACTGAAGGTGCTCGTCGGTTGTAAAAGGGTCATTGATTATGCTGTCAAGGTACGCAGGTATTGTTTTATGTTCAGTATACGTACATGTTGGAATTAGTTTGTCTGTTTATGAAGTATTTATCATAAGGTTTCTGACTTAGAGTCTCAGTTCAAGAACATACAGCTTGGTGGACATGACTGGACTTTATTAAACCCGGAGTGTTACTAACCCAGATATTAGCCTCATAAATGTTTTAATAAGAGGAAGATTAAGAAAGTTTATTTAGGTACAAGTTTGCAAACTATACAATACTATTTTTATTTCTTTGCAAGTTTACATTGAGATTCTGTAGTTACAATAATGAGTTAGTGGATGACACAATGCCCATAAGTAAATAATGTCATGGCATTATGGGCATTGTGCCATAATGGCTTACAGACTGCTTAATACTAGAGAAATTGATCATAGTTTAAGTTGAACATCTGTGTATATTAAAAGCAGACACTCTTTGGATGATTACAAAATTTACAATTTTCTTATATACTAACATGTGTAAATTACCCGGCATAACACAAAACGTCACTGACTTATTTTATTTCCATTTGAGTCGTTAAAAATAATTCACAGTAAGTAAGTAAGTTTATTTAGGTACAGGTGCACATAATTACAATTATACATAGTACCATGTAAAAATTACCTAGGATGACCTATAAAAATCAGAGTTGCTTATTTCCATTGGGGTCCTTGAGCAGTATACATGTATTAGAAACGAGTACACGTATTAGGAATAAGAATGAAACAGTAAATGAAATACATGAAAATGAATTACAGTAAAAATAGAGTAGGAATTAAATACAGTGAGTAAATCAAATACACGAGAATGAATTACTTGAGCTTTAAAAAGAAATCATTAGAATATAAGTTAAGTAAAAGGACACAAGTGCAACTAATGTGACATTTTTATTGTGGCAACGTTTTGCTCTCCAGGAACTTTGTCAAAGCTTGACAAAGCTCCTGGAGAGCAAAATGTTGCCACAATAAAAATGTCACATTAGTTGCGCTTGTGTCCTTTTACTTTACACATTGTCAGTAATTCTACCAACATTATTACAGAATATAAGTTACATGAATATTGTTGTTATTATTATTATTATCATGGGGGAGCGCTAAATCCGTAGGATATACAGCGCATGTGGGGAATGGAAGGTATTCAGGTGTCCCGTAGCTCGATTGCTAGCACACTCAGCTCACACACTGAGGTCCGGGGTTCGAATCTCCTCCGGTACAGCAGGAAAACATTAGGGACATCTTTTTATAAGACACCTGCTGTCTCTGTCCCTGTTCAAATATCAGTTTAAAATGGGTACCTGGGTGTTAGTTTGGTGTGGGTCGCATCCTGGGACAAAACTGACCTAATTTGCCCGAAATGCTCTGCATAACAAACAGCTTTCTATATAGTAGTACAGTGGACCCTCAACTAACGTTATTAATCCGTTCCTGAGAGCTCATCGTTAGTCAAAATTATTGTTAGTCAAGTTAATTTTCCCCATAAGAAATAATGGAAATCAAATTAATCTGTGTAGGACACCCCAAAGTATGAAAAAAAATTGTTTTTACCACATGAAATATTAATTTTAATACACACAAACTGAAGAAGACATGCACAGTTACATGACACTTACCTTTATTGAAGATCTGGTGATGATTGATGGGATGGGAGGAGGGAAGAGTGTTGATGGTCTTAGTGTTTAGAAGGGGAATCCCCTTCCATTAGGACTTGAGGTGGCAAGTCCTTTTCCGGGGTTACTTCCCTTCCCTTTAAATCTCTCAAACCAACCTTTGCTGGCCTTAAATTCACTCACATCACCACTAGTTGCTGGCATTTTTTTCATTAAATCGTCATGCAACTTCCTAGCCTTTTCACATATGATCACTTGAGAGATGCTATCTCCTGCTATCTGTTTTTCGTTTATCCACACCACTAACAGTCCCTCAACATCTTCGAGCACTTGCGATCTCAGTTTCGAAAACATAGTTGCACCTTTGGCAAGAACAGCTTCCTTGATTGCCGTTTTCTTGCCCACAATAGTAGCGATGGTTGATTGGGGTTTTGTGTACAACCTGGCCAGCTCGGAGACACTCGCTCCGCTTTCATACTTAGCAATGATCTCTTTCTTCATATCCATAGTAATTCTCACCCTTTTTGCTGTAGGGTTGGCACTAGAAGCTTTCTTGGGGCCCATGGTGACTTATTTTGCAGGTGCAATCACTAAAAAGGCTGTGATAATATGAAATGTTCCGATTGTATGCTTGGAAGCGACCGCGGTGGCTGGCTGGCTTGTAAACACTGGCCAGAAGTGGACGCGTCTCAGACAGAAGGAATAGTGTTGGTCGAGTTTTTTAGCGCTAGTCAAGGCAAAATTTTTGCGTTAAAATGTATCGCTAGTTGGATTTATCGTTAATCGATGCCATCGTTGGTCGAGGGTCCACTGTATATCATTGATGTCAGCTAGGCCTGTATACCATGTACATGTACTGGTAGTAAATAAAGATTACTATTATTATTATGTAATTCAGGACATGAATATTAACTATACAAGAAATCACATAGTGGGTGCTTGTAGCTAGGTTGGTAGTGTCCTCAGCTCTCGCACTGAGGATTCTAGAATTGATCCCCGACATGGCTGAAATGTTGGGCATGTATCTTTATATTTGCTGCCACTGTTAGATAACCAGGACAGTTCGGATTTTTAACCCGAAGGGTTAGCCACCCAGGATAACACAGTAAAAAGTCATTGCATCAATGGGTAGCAAGGAGAGTGAAAGCAGAAGGAAAACCAAGTTGAAAAGTGATAGATAGTCCTTATTACTGTTGTTTAGAGGAAGTAAATATATATACAGTGGACCCCCGCATACCGTTGGCATCACATAATGTTAAATCCGCATACCGATACATTTTATCGCTAAGATTTTGCCTCGCATACCGCTAAAAAACCCGCTCAATGCTATTCGTCCAAGACGCGTCTAATGTGCGGCCTGAGCCAGCCTCACATGTTCCGCCAGTGGTATTGTTTACAAGCCAGCCTCCACGGTAACATCCAAGCATACAATCGGAACATTTCGTATTATTACAGCGTTTTTGGTGATTTTATCTGCAAAATAAGTGACCATGGGCCCCAAGAAAACTGCTAGTGCCAACCCTGTGGTAAAAAGGGTGAGAAATATTATCGAAATACTGTGGTACCATGGTCAACTGCTGATGCTGCTGCTTCTGTAGCACCGTCAGCTGCTGCTGCTGCTGCTTCTGTAGCACCGTCAGCTGCTGCTGCTGCTGCTTCTGTAGCACCGTCAGCTGCTGCTGCTGCTGCTGCTTCTGTAGCACCGTCAGCTGCTTCTGCTGCTGCTTCTGTAGCACCGTCAGCTACTGCTGCTGCTGCTTCTGTAGCACCGTCAGCTGCTGCTGCTGCTTCTGTAGCACCGTCAGCTGCTGCTGCTGCTGCTGTAGCACCGTCAGCTGCTGCTGCTGCTGTAGCACCGTCAGCTGCTGCTGCTGTACCACCATCAGCTGCTGCTGCTGCTGTAGTACCGTCTGCTGCTGCTGTAGCACCGTCTGCTGCTGCTGCTGCTGTAGCACCATCAGCTGCTGCTGTACCACCGTCAGCTGCTGCTGCTGCTGTAGCACCGTCTGCTGCTGCTGTAGCACCGTCTGCTGCTGCTGTAGCACCGTCTGCTGCTGCTGTAGCACTGTCAGCTGCTGCTGCTGTACCACCGTCAGCTGCTGCTGCTGCTGTAGTACCGTCTGCTGCTGCTGCAGCACCGTCTGCTGCTGCTGTAGCACTGTCAGCTGCTGCTGCTGCTGTAGTACCGTCTGCTGCTGCTGCAGCACCGTCTGCTGCTGCTGTAGCACTGTCTGCTGCTGCTGTAGCACCGTCTGCTGCTGCTGTAGCACTGTCAGCTGCTGCTGTAGCACCGTCTGCTGCTGCTGTAGCACTGTCAGCTGCTGCTGTAGCACTGTCAGCTGCTGCTGTAGCACTGTCAGCTGCTGCTGTAGCACTGTCAGCTGCTGCTGTAGCACTGTCAGCTGCTGCTGTAGCACTGTCAGCTGCTGCTGCTGCTGTAGCACTGTCAGCTGCTACTGCTGCTGTAGCACTGTCAGCTGCTGCTGCTGTAGCACCGTTGCTGGTGTGGCTTATTGAGAATACCGAGAAACAATTAACCCCAGAGGGTTAGCCACCTAGGATAACCCAAAAAAGTCAGTGTCATCGAAGACTGTCTAACTTATTTCCATTGGGGTCCTTAATCTTGTCTCCCAGGATGCAACTCACACCAGTCGACTAACACCCAGGTGAACAGGGAAAAATGCCTGGAACTAGTTAGTGCTCGTATTGGTGAATTTAAAGCCAGCAGAGGTTGGTTTGAGAGATTTAAGAATCGTAGTGGCATACACAGTGTGATAAGGCCTGTTCTGGAAGAAAATGCCAAACAGGACCTACAGTACTCAGGAGGAAAAGGCACTCCCAGGACACAGTGTCTCATCAGTCATTGCTGCATCTTCAATAAAGGTAAGTGTCATTTATTCTTCATTTAGTAGAGTAGTACATGCACAATATATATTGTGCATGTACTGCTCTACTATTGTGCATGTATCCTTCTCTTTGTGTGTAGGAAAATGTATATTTCATGTGGTAAAATTTTTTTTTCATACTTTTGGGTGTCTTGCAAGGATTAATTTGATTTCCATTATTTCTTATGGGGAAAATTCTTCCGCATGACAATGAGCTCTCAGGAACGGATTAATATCGTTATGTGGGGGTCCAATGTACATATATATATGATTATGGGCTGGTTGTGTATTTAGAAATTCAGTTTTCTTAAATATTTTCTTTTAATACAGATTCGTGTAAGGCCTGATAAACTGGGAGTGGTGACAGATGGCATTAAACACTCCATGAATCCTTTTGATGAAATTGCCATTGAGGAAGCAGTTCGCCTCAAGGAAAAGAATATAGTCAAAGAAGTAATTGCTGTATCATGTGGTCCAACTCAGGCACAAGTAAGTATATTTAGCCTTTAATTTATGCCAAAGTAATTTTGAAATCCAATATGGAAAATACCATTACTGCCTTTCATTCATATCTCGAGGAAATACCTTAGTCATTGCAGTATTTTGAAAATCATAATTTCTGATAAACCAGGATATTATAAATAGGATATTATAATCTGTAGTAGAAGAGGCAGTAAGCTTTCTTTAATAAAGTACAGTATGCTGCAGAAATTGCATACAGTGCAGTGTACAAAATCATTACAGCATTATAAAATTACAAAATACAGTGGTACCTCAAGCTACGAACTTAATTCATTCCAGAAGGCTGGTAGAGTGCCGATACTGAACGAATTTGTTCCTATGAGGAATAATGTAAATTTGATTAGTCCGTTTCAGACCCCCCAAAAATGCACTTACAAAAGCACTTGCAAAAATTCACTTACATAATTGTTCGAGTTGGGAGCTGTTCGAAACTCGAGGTAGCACTGTACAGTGCCTGCACTCTGAAGGAGGGGTGGAAGTGTATTGCAGTTTTTGAATCAGGCCACGGTGCCCCGTGACCTGGTGTCTAAAGCTCTCGCTGCACACAGCGAGAGGTCCGGGTTCGATTCCTGGTGAAGTGGTGGAAACTTTGGACGTGTTTCCTTACACCAGTTGTCTGTGTTCCCCATCAGTAAAATGGGTACCTGGGTGTTAGTTGACTGGTGTGGGTCGCATCCTGGGACAAAAACTGACCTAATTTGCCTGAAATGCTCTGCATAACAAGCGGCTTTCTATATAGTGGTAAGTACTATGTCATTGATGTCAGCTGGGCCTGTATACCTTGTCCATGTACTTTTAGTAAATAAAGATACATATCATTATTAAAATTATTATCTGTTTACCGATGGCAAGACAGTGATGGAGTGAGCGATGATGAAAGTGTTTCTCCTTTTACGGATCACTCTGCCTCGGTGGGAAATGGTCAGTGTGTTAAAAAAAAAAAGTAATACTTTTGGTAATATACTCCATTAATGAGGTTACCTGGAGTTTACCTGGAGAGAGTTCCGGGGGTCAACGACCTCGCGGCCCGGTCTGTGACCAGGCCTCATGGTGGAACAGGGCCTGATACATACATGTATTAGTTCTGTGCAAAATCCTTTATAAAGACACTCCAAATTATGAACAGTGGTACTTAGGATTGGGGTTCATAAGAAATATTTAAAAAACATTGTTGTATTTTGAATGTCGTCTTTACAGTTCCAAAGATACTAGTGATGTTTGTTTTAGTATGTTTGAACTTGAAAAACAGCTTTTTTTTTGACACCGAAGTATAAGATCAATGCTTGCAATAAAGAGCTTTTAATTATTTTTTTGTTTTGCAATGTAATGGACTTTGAGTGATAATTACTTTCCATTAATTACTATTGGAAAAAATCAGAGTATGTAATGTAATTATTTGGTACATATGCTCTTCCTGACATGAGTAGAACATAATCCTTTTTATTGTTGTTTTCTATGGCTTAATAGGTTTTAAGTTCCAAAAAAAAGTTACAAACTTCAGAAATATAACTATTCTTCAAATGGGTAATTTTTTTTTTTTTTTTATAAATTGATTAAAATATTAGAGAATGTACTTACCATAAAATGATCTGTATGATTCTTCCCAGCTCTAAAAAACTGTTGGGAACCACCTATTTTTGCTCAGAGTAGCTGTACAGTTACTGGACACTATTTTATGAATTGCCCGTGTCCCAAAAAATATAATGTAAACTCCCTGCAGACACTGTACAGTATTAGACAAAGTTGTAAAAAAAAAAAAATTGCCTTATTTGGTTCAGACTGTGTTCTATACCATTTCAGAAGTAAGAATCCTACTGTAGTGGGATAACATGTGCTAATTATGTTGTCATTTTGTCATAATTCATGGTTATTATGCACTGTACATTAATATATGTTTTATGCTTTTATTTTGATTAAAATCTAGGAGACCATCCGCACTGCATTAGCCATGGGTGCAGACAGAGGCATCCATGTAGAGGTCCCAGCAAAAGAGATGGAGAAGCTTGAGCCTCTCCATGTGTCAAAGATTCTTGCAAAACTAGCAGAGAAAGAACAGGCTGAACTGGTAATTGTGGGCAAGCAAGCCATTGATGATGACACAAACGCCACTGCCCAGATGACAGCAGGAATCCTCAATTGGCCACAAGCCACTTTTGCTTCAAAGGTTAGACAAATGGGTAATATTAAACCCACTTAACAGTACATCTTCATTAATTCAATATATTTTAGCTCATGATGCACCCATATACTGTACATTATTACATTATTTATAAAAACTTTTAAGTCACTATCTTATGCCATGCTTCTAAATAAACAAACTATCTTTCTTTATAACCCCCCTTGTCTGCTTCCTGAATTAGACCATATCTTAATCCCCCACAAAAGTATTGGCATGATTAAACTCTTACACTTTTTTGCATACATTGACAAACTTTTTACTCTCATTGTCTTGCACATGTGCCATCCTCTTATACTTCATCTATTCTGTATATACTTTGCATTACCTTTCATGGACCCATCTGTTGGCACTCCTACTCCCAAATATCTAAACAAATTCAGTTCCACGTGCATTTCTTACAATTTGAAGTCCAGACTTTCATCGTCCAAATGTCTTTCTTCTCTCATCAACTTACTCTTTAAAGTGTTCACCTATAAATTACCTGGTACTTCATTTACATGCCTTCCCAAACTCCTCTGCCAGCCTATTCAGCTTCTCTTCTGAATCTCCCAAGAGCACTATTGTCACAAGTGGCAACAGTGACAGCTCACATTTTATATCAAATTAATTCTTCAGATCCACACCTCTCTAACACTAGAATTCACTTCCTTTATAAAATCATCTATAAATTTCATTAAATGACTAAGGTAGTATTGAATATCCTTGTCTAAAGCCTACCTTTACTGGAAGTTCTGTACACTCCACCTCTGTACATCCATATGTGAGACTTGCTCATAGTAGCACTTAGGGCATTTAGCAAATTGCCAACAGTTATATACATTTGCAACATCTACCACCTTGCCTTCCTATTTATCCTGCTTTGTGTCTTCTAAATTCATAAATGCATTATACAGATTCTTACTCTTTATCAAAGTATTACTCATGTTTTAATCCAAACATTACATAATTACTAAAGAGAAAAAATATGGAAATTACTGGTAGTATATGCTGTATTGTAAATGCTAAGAAACATGAATTTTGCAGATAGAGAAAAAAGATGATTTCCTGGAAGTTATTCGTGAAATTGATGGAGGTCTTGAAACAATAAAAGTAAAATTACCAGCTGTTGTCTCAGCTGACCTACGGCTCAACGAACCACGATATGCTACATTGCCGAATATTATGGCGAGTACAGCACATTAATATGTTACATTCTCCAAGGGAGGTGCCTTGATGTCTGCCTTGATTCAAGGAACAGGGCTTATCCTACCTAGGATCAAACCTGTTCACTTTCCATTCCTGAGGTACCATATGATCCCTGATAAAAAATAAATATAAGTGGGTAAAAATGTTGTGGAGGGTAAATGAAAATGGGGAGCCTTTAATTGAGCTATGTGTACAAAGAGCTTTGGTAATAAGTAATAAATATTTTATGAAAAAGAGGATAAATAAATATACAAGGTATGATATAGCACATAAATGATAGTTTGTTAGATTATGTATTGGTGGATAAAAGGTTGATGGGTAGGCTCCAGGATGTACACGTGTATAGAGGGGCAACTGATATATCGGATCATTATCTAGTTGTAGCTACAGTTAGAGTAAGAGGTAGATGGGACAAGAGGAAAATGGTAACAAGTAAGAGGGAGGTGAAAGTGTATAAACTAAGGGAGGAGGAAGTTCGGGTGAGATATAAGTGACTATTGGCAGAAAGGTGGGCTAGTGCAAAGATGAGTAGTGGGGGGGTTGAAGAGGGTTGGAATAGTTTTAAAAATGCAGTATTAGAATGTGGGGCAGAAGTTTGTGGTTATAGGAGGGTGGGTGAAGGAGGAAAGAGGAGTGATTGGTGGAATGACGAAGTAAAGGGTGTGATAAAAGAGAAAAAGGTAGCTTATGAGAGGTTTTTTACAAAGCAGAAGTGTTATAAGAAGAGTAGAGTATATGGAGAGTAAAAGAAAGGTGAAGAGAGTGGTGAGAGAGTGCAAAAGGAGAGCGGATGATAGTGGGAGAGGCTCCGTCAAGAAATTTTAATGAAAATAAGAAAAAATTTTGGAGTGAGTTAACCAAGTTAAGAAAGCCTAGGGAACGAATGGATTTGTCAGTTAAAAACAGAGTAGCGGAGTTAGTAGATGGGGAGATGGAGGCATTGGGTAGATGGCGAGAAAATTTTGAGGAACTTTTAAATGTCGACAAAGAAAGGGAGGCGGTAATTTCGTGCACTGGCCAGGGAGGTATACTATCTTTGAGGAGTGAAGAAGAGCAGGATGTGAGTGTGGGGGAGGTGTGTGAGGCATTACATGAAATGAAAGGGGTTAAAGCAGCTGGAACTGATGGGATCACGACAGAAATGTTAATAGCAGGGGGAGGTAGTGTTGGAGTGGATGGTATTTTTGTTTAATAATGTATGAAAGAAGGGAAGGTACCTAGGGATTGGCGGAGAGCGTGTATAGTCCCTTTATATAAAGGGAAGGGGGACAAAAAAGATAGTAAACTTCTTCCTCAATAATTTTTACAGGGTATACCAGGAAAAGTGTACAGTAGGGTTATTATTGAAAGAATTAGAGGTAAGACAGAATGTAGAATTGCGGATGAACAAGGAGGTTTTAGAGTGGGTAGGGGACGTGTAGATCAAGTGTTTACATTGAAGCATATATGTGAACAGTGTTTAGATAAAGGTAGGGAAGCTTTTATTGCATTTATGGATTTAGAAAAGGCATATGATAGTGGATAGAGGAGCAATGTGGCAGATGTTGCAAGTATATGGAATAGGTGGTAAGTTACTAAATGCTGTGAGTTTTTATGAGGATAGTGAGGCTCAGGTTAAGGTGTGTAGAAGAGAGAGACTACTTCCCGGTAAAAGTAGGTCTTAGACAGGGATGTGTAATGTCACTATGGTTGTTTAATATATTTATAGATGGGGTCGTAAAAGAAGTAAATGCTAGGGTGTTCGGGAGAGGGGTGGGATTAAATTATGGGGAATCAAGATACAAAATGGGAAGTGACAGTTACTTTTTGCTGATGATACTGTGCTTATGGGAGATTCTAAAGAAAAATTGCAAAGGTTAGTGGATGAATTTGGGTGTGTGTGTAAAGGTAGAAAATTGAAAGTGAACATAGAAAGTAAGTTGATAAGGGTATCAAATGATTTAGATAAAGAAAAATTGGATATCAAATTGGGGAGGAGTATGGAAGAAAAAGTTTTCAGATATTTGGGAGTCGACGTGTCAGCGGATGGATTTATGAAGGAATTGAAGGAAAAAATAGGCGAGTGGTGCATTGAGGTATATATGGAGACAAAAAATGTTATCTATGGAGGCAAAGAAGGGAATGTATGAAAGTATAGTAGTACCAACACTCTTATGTATATGGGTGTGAAGCTTGGGTTGTAAATGCTGCAGCAAGGAGGCAGTGGAGATGTCCTGTCTAAGGGCAATGTGTGGTGTAAATAGTATGCAGAAAATTAAGAGTCTGGAAATTAGGAGGTGTGGAGTTAATAAAAGTATTAGAGGGCTGAAGAGGGGTTGTTGAGGTGGTTTGGTCATTTAGAGAGAAAGGATCAAGGTAGAATGACATGGAGAGTATAAATCTGTAGGGGAAGGAAGGCGGGGTAGGGGTTGTCCTCGAAAAGGTTGGAGGGAGGGGGTAAAGGAGGTTTTGTGGGTGAGGGGCTTGGACTTCCAGCAAGCGTGCGTGAGCATGTTAGATAGGAGTGAATGGAGACGAATGGTATTTGGGACCTGATGAGCTGTTGGAGTGTGAGCAGGGTAATATTTAGTGAAGTGATTCAGGGAAACTGGTTATTTTATATAGCCGGACTTGAGTCCTGGAAATGGGAAGTACAATACCTGCACTTTAAAGGAGGGATTTGGGATATTGGCAGTTTGGAGGGATATGTTGCGTATCTTTATACGTATATACTTCTAAACTGTGTATTCTGAGCACCTCTGCAAAAACAGTGATTATGTGTGAGTGAGGTGAAAGTGTTGAATGATGAAATTATTTTCTTTCTTTTTGGGTCACCCTGCCTCGGTGGGAGACGGCCGACTTGTTAAAAAGAAAAAGAAAAAAAAAAAGTTTTGAGTTTATATTATTGTCTAGACAGTGAGTTTTATAATAAACCATGATATGTTTTGAACATATTTCTAGAATTCCCATCACAATTAATTATATTTATAATGAATGCACAAGTTTTAGTTTTCACTGAAGCTTTATTTGGTTTGTATGTATGGAAGCCATAAATGGTAAATATGCTCAGATATTTGAGCATTGGGAAAAGAAAAATATTGAAAAGAAGAAATAGGTGTGCATTCCACATCTATTTATGCATGTTTTCAACCATTTTTGTATAGATGTTTTAACATCCTTAAAGCTGTTAAGTTAAAAGCCAGCAAGCTACAGATCCAGTATAGGGAAAGTAAAATTTATTTTTATGGAATATAATACTGTACAGTATTAGGTTTGTAATAGTCTCTTGTACCATTCTTTAATTTGTGACATGCTTTACACTTGTACAGAAAGCAAAGAAAAAGAAAATTGAGAAAATGAAGCCTGCAGACCTGGGTGTGGATACAACTCCTCATTTTGAAGTTATTGAAGTGACTGACCCACCTGCGAGAGAGGCCGGCATTAAAGTTGAGGATGTGGATACTCTTCTTCTCAAACTTAAGGAAGTGGGACGCATTTAATTATTTAGTGTTTAGAATGGGTAAGATTGAAGAGCCACTTCTCAGAATAAATCAGTAGACCAGTGTAGTAGTAGTATATTTTGACATTTTTCTGTTGCAGTATTTTATGCATAATCTAAATGAGTATATTTTTATTTTCAGGTTGGTGAGTAGATCCTTAGATGGAAAATAAATAAATTTTTTTTTTTTCTGTATGGAGAATATAAACTTTAATATCATTTTATATTATAATCAGAAAGAAGCACTAAACCACAAGGGTTTTATCATTTTATAGACTGTATATAAGAATTAACATATTGTAATACTTTTTGCAAATTTTATTTATTTTTCCCTAAAAATTAACATGTTCTTTTTTTTTACGCCTTTATTTGAAAAATAAAGCATTCAGGTTCAGTCCAAGGAAAGGTAGGATAAATGCAGTTCTTTGGTTGACAGCCCCCCCCCCCCCTCCCCCCTTTTGGTAAGGCACCCCTCTTGGGGGTATTTAGGTTGGAAAAAGTAATACAATGATTTCTTTTTTTAAATTTAAATTGCATACGGGACTTTAGTTCATTTTGTATTAAATTTTGTGAAGTTTTTTTTTTTCATCGGGGACGGGAAAAGTGGCTTCAACAGCAGTAATGCACATTTCATTCAATTCATTCGGGGAAAATTAAAAGCCTGGAAAAAATAAAATGCTAATTAAAATTATTGGAATTTTAAAATATTTTAACAAGGGCCCTTTTCCTACCTAAATGGGCAAAAAAAAAAAAAAAACTGCAATCTGCTCGTCAGAAGCGAGGACGCCATGGCTAGTACCCGAAATTGCAACAACCTAAAAGTGCAGACATGCCCCACCTCTGGGACTTAGTTGGCAAACCAGTTTATTTAAACCCCTTCTAAGTCATATGCCATTTTTTTTTTTTTTTTTAACAATTTGGGTCGTCTCCCACCGGGCGGGTGACCCAAAAAAAAAAGAAAACCCCCAAAAAAAAAAATACTTTCATCATCATTCAACACTTTCACACATTATCAGCTTTTGCAGAGGTGCCAGAATAAACAGTTTAGAAGCTATACGGGGCCCCCCCGCATAGCGACTTAATCGGAAAGAGGGCTGGTCGTTATGCAAATGTTGCATGCAATTTTTTCCCATAAGAAATAGGGAAATAAAATTAACCCGTGCAAACCCCAAAAAATATGAAAAAAATTTTTTTTTACCAAAAAAAATGTTTTTTTTAGTACACACAAACTGAAAAAGGCTTGCACAATTACTGACATTTACTTTTATGAAATTGGTGATGATTGATGGGTGGGGGGAGGGAGAGGAGTGTAGGTTTAAAAGGGGGAAATCCCCTTCCTTAGGACTTGAGGTGAAAAGTCCTTTTTGGGGTTACTTCCCTTCTTTTTTTAATGCCACTAGACCAGTTCAGAGTCACTGACTTTTCGCAAACTTCTGTCCAAGTGGCCGTCCTCTCTTTCCCTTTTATGATTTGTCTAAAGTGGTTCACAACGTGTCATTGTAACAGTCCCCAGCAGGGGCTTGCAATGCTGTGTGAGGGTGTTTTTCATCAAAAAAGGGTTTCACTTCAACCCATTTTGGGCACCCATTTTTCCCTTAATCTTTGAAGTGGCAATTCCTTAATTTTTCTCTCTTCCCCTCCTTTGGGAACCATTTCCCGGGTTTGGCCTCTTGCTCTTGAAGTGCACAGCCATCGGGGCCTGCCCCACCAATTCCAACCCCTCCCCACAACCCCAACCCCGGACTTCCCCAATTCCACAATTATTCCCCCATGGTTTCTCCTTCAGGTTAGCCTCAAACCCTTCAAAATCCCTTTTGTTAAAATTTCGGCCACAGTTTCTTCCAAGCAGAGTTCAAGGTTCTCTTATCACTCCCTCCAAACCTTTCCTATAAGGTTTACACAACTGAGGATATTAAATGATCCTTTCCAAAAAATCTTTAGAGTCAATCCATGTCTGTGGCATTCAAAGCACTTTTGAAACAGAGCTTTTTTGTAACGTTTTTTGAATTGGGAAAAGACCCCTTTTCCATGGGGTGCAGGAGAGGGTGGTTGGGGCAAAAAAATTCACCTTAATGAAGTCATGTCCCATAAAGTCGCCTTGCCCCGTCTTAGGGTGAAGGGGCATTGTCTAACACCCGGGGCACTTAAGGTCAATTTCTTTTCAGTTAGAATCTTTCACATTTGGGGGGAAATGCATGGTTTAAAAAGTTATAGAAAAAATTTCCCCAGTGACCCCTGCCTTTTTGTTTGCCCTCCACACACACACAAATTATCCTTGAGGACTTCTTTTGCCGAAAGCTCTGGGAAATTTCAGAGTGATACACTAATTTAAAGGGTTAACTTTTCAATCACCACTAGCATTGGCACACATCAAAAAAGTAAGCCCGTTTTTTATAGGCTTTGTCCCGGGAGTGCCCTTTTTCTCCGGAATGTAGGTCCTTTGGGATTTTCTTCCAGAACAGGCCTGTTTCTCACAATTAAACCTGTTCGGTTCCGTCCTTTGTTTCTATGTCTCCTTGAATTCAGCACATTTTTTCAGCCGCTTTGTGGTCCGAACTGGCAGCCTCACCATGCCCTATCACACTATGGATGCCATAGCTTCTTTAAAACTCTCAAACCAACCTTTTGGCCTTAAAAATTTATCCATCATCAATTCAGGCATTTTTTTAATTAAATCGTCATGAACTTCCTAGCTTTTCACATTGATGCTTGAGAGACGCTATCTCCGTAGCTGTTTTTCATTTTTCCCAACAATAAAAGTCTTCAAAAATCTTCATCACTTGGATCTTTGTTTCGAAAACCAATTAAAAAACCTTTTTGGGAACAACAGCTTCCTTTTATTGCCCTTTCTTGCCCCCAAAAGAAGGATGGTTGATTTTTGGTTTTTTTGTACAACTGACCAGGTGGTGTACGTACTCCACTTTTATATTATCAATGATCTCTTTTTATTTCAATGGGTATTTTACCCTTTGAGGGGTAGGGTTGGGATAGAAGCTTTCTTGGGGCCCATGGCATTATTTTTTCCACAAACAGCACCGAAAACTGTAATAAACGAAATATTCCGAGTGATGCTTTAATGTTCCGCGGAGGTGGCTGGAAAAATGGGAGGGCGGTAATGTGAGGCTGGGTGAGGGGGGCCCCCAAATTGGACGCGTCTGGAAAGGGGCGCTGAGCGGTTTTTGTTCCAAATAGCGGGGGAAAATTTTAGCGAACAAACTTCGCATGCGGATTGTGCTATGCAAGGCGTTCGCTATGCGGGGTCCACTGTACGTATAAAGAAAACAACATATCCCCCCAAAGCCATATCCCAAACCCCCCCCTTTAAAATGCGGATTGTATTCCCTTTCCAGGATAAGTCCGACTATAAAAAAAAACCCGGGTTTCCCTAATCCCTTCATAAATTTTTTTACCCTTCACACTTCCAACAGATCGTCAGGTCCCAAGTATATTTGTCTCCATTCACCCTTTCTAACACCCCATGACGCTTTCTGGAATCCAAGCCCCTCGCCCACAAACCTCCTTTTTCCCCCCCTTTTTCCAACCCTTTCAGGACGACCCCTACCCCCCTTTCCTTCCCCTATGATTTATATGCTTTCCTGTCATTCTACTTTGATCCATTCTCTCTAAATGACCAAGCACCTCAACAACCCCTCTTCTGCCCTCTGACTAATGCTTTTATTAACTCCACACCTTTTCCTAATTTCCACACTCCGAATTTTCTGCATATTTACACCACACATTGCCCTTAGACAGGACATCTCCACTGCCTCCAACCATCTCCTCGCTGCTGCATTTACCACCCAAGCTTCACACCCATATAAGAGTGTTGGTACTATACTTTCATACATTCCCTTCTTTGCCTCCATAGATTTATAAATCCTAATTATCCCATGTTGCCTCATCCCCTCTATACAGCCAAACTACCTCAACAACCCCTCCTGAGCCCTCTGAATTATACATTTGGTAACTCCATTACTATATATTCACAAAAGTGGTGTGCAGCAATTTATAAATTAAAGATATGCAGCAGGAACTGTTAAAGTAACACATCTCCATGTAGCATTTCATAATGGAAAGCTTACCTTACACTTTTAATGTGACAAGAAGCATTATAGGAGTAAAGATTAAAAGAAATTTCTAGTTATTAATATATCACATTTTCATATCATAATTACCAGCAGTTCTTGAGTTATTTTTTTTTTTTAACCATTAAACTGTCCAAACGTAGATCTACGGTCACGTGCATAGTGCTCTGACCTTGATTTCCCCACATTTGAAAGCATGTAAAAAAAAAAAAAAAAAAAAAAAAAAGCGTAGATCTATGTTCGGAGCCTGCCGCATGTCAACATATATCAAACTGTCCACACGTAAAGGGTTAAAAGCAATTGAGAACCAATACAAAACATCAAATAATCTCTCTGGAAAAACATTAAGATGTGAATATAAAAAAGTAAACATCAAAATTAATTGTACTATAAGCATGGTAAAGGTTAATCTGTAACAAAGCTAAATTCAGAAGTTTTTTTTTTTATTTTAGTCATTATAATGAATACAACTAAAAAAAAAAAAAAAAAAAAAGCCAAAAATGTATAAAATCGGTAACCATAATTAAACATCTGTAAATATTTAATCTAATAATAAGTGATTTTTTTTAATGCTAGGCTGTATGACCCCTAAGTTTGGCATTTGTTTCCTAATATAATGATTTAACCCATAAACGGTCCAAACGTATATATACGTTTTTACCGCTAGTGCCCCAAACGTATATATACGTTTTATGTGTCGTATATTTAACATTGCCACGATATGTCTAGGCAACTCAGGCTTGAGAAAATGGGTGTGTGCACTCACTGTGTGCCATATTAAAATAATTGGGGGATGCCTGCGTACCATATGCTCTTTTTTTCCTATTAAAAACAAACAAATTTTTTTTCTCAAAAAATTTGGGGCACTACGGTAGATAACGTATATATACGTTTGGTCTGTTTACAGGTTAATAACCAGCAACATCATAATTGAAACAAATATGCCTTCCATTTACTTTCTTAGCTCATCCATCTAGAGCAGCGCTGTATGACTCTGGTGGTTTAACACTTAGTTTTGATTATAATCATCCATCTAGTTGGTCTAATCATGACTAATATGTCGATGTTCTCTATTACTGACCTACCTCAGCACATAAGTGAAACTCTTCACTCAGTGATGTGGAAAAAACGCCTTTGTCATCTGTCTGCAAGAAAAAGGATAGAAAATACAGCATAATTATCAGAGAAAATATCACAAAGACATTTAAATAGAGACCTAGGAGTTGTCACCAACAAAAGATTGTTACCAGAATACAGTAGGATACATTCCAAGGACCTGCCATTGATATTGAAACTGTGGATATTAGCAAACCCTATATACGTATGTCCTATACATACTTATTATAAAGTTTAACTGATAAATTATGCACAGTAAGTAGAGACTGCATGACCCTTATCGGTTTAGCATTGTAGTACAATATTTGATTGTAATAATAATTAGAGAATAATCACTTTCACTGATGAGAAGTGCTTCACGGCTTCTCTTAAGCTTTGAAGAATTGCTAGCTTCTCTACTTTTGTGCTTTGGGGCCATTATTATGCAAAATTAAGAGGTATTTTTGAGCCACAGTAAACCGCGGACACCAAATCAGTGAATACTGGGGCTCTACCGTATCTTGCTGATGAAACAGTTCCCTCAGGGAAGGTTCCTTCAAGCTGGTGAGGGGCTTATGGTGAAGGAATTAGGTCAGTCCTTGCATTTCCCCTCCTCTGTTTGACTCCTAAAGGCATAGTGCTTTCCCTTGATAATATGCAAAATTTTATGGTAGATGGTAGGTTACCCTTTCTAAGTACAGGTGTCTGCCCTCTCCTTCACTTTATGCTGTCGATTCATTCTAGGGCCATGGCAGCTGAATCAGGCCATCATTACTTAATACTGCATATAATAATCTTCAATAAGCCTTGCAAACTGCATCGCTTGAATACGTGTGGAATAAACAATAGAAATCCTAGTGCACTCCATAGTGAATTTGCATGGAAGAAAACCTACATGTTCAGAGGAAATCTAATAGAATTCACTGCTTTCTATAAACCTACACACATTAATTATTCACACAGCCATCATGCCAATCAAGATATAGTCACTGGCCTTCATGCCATTGAGGGGCTCTTGATCAGGGAACATGATGTATCCTCTTATGGATTGAATCTTGACTTCCTATTACTACAGGTGCTGTATTACCCACACAGGTTAAGTGCTCCCACATGCATGTATTAATAATAATCTACTTGCACTAAGACTCTGCAGCCTACAATGCTTAAAACAAGAAAACAGCATTGTTACTGGATAATTCAAAAGTCCCTGCTATCCAGAATAGTTAATACAAAAGAAAAGGACAAGCATGACCTAATATTTAGTATAGCATTATGTGAGTAAATTTTTTTTTTTTAACATGTTGGCCATTTCCCACTGAGGCAGGATGACCCAAAAATAAAGAAAAATCCAAAAGAAAAAGAAAAAACTTTTATCATTCAACACTTTCACCATCACTCATACATAAACACTGTCTTTACAGAGGCACTCAGACACGACATCTTAAACGTCCCTCCAAACTGCCAACATCCCAAACCCCTCCTTTAACCCTTTGAGGGTTTCGGGCATACTAGTACGGCTTACGACCCAGGGTTTTTGACGTACTAATACGCCTAAATTCTAGCGCCCTCAAATCTAGTGGGAGAAAGCTGGTAGGCCTACATATGAAAGAATGGGTCTATGTGGTCAGTGTGCACAGTATAAAAAAAAATCCTGCAGCAAACAGTGCATAATGAGAAAAAAAACTGACCGTTTTTTTTTGGAATAAAACAGCGACTTTGCACTGTATTTTCGTATGGTATTTATTGTTGTATTCTAGTTTTCTTGGTCTCATTTTATAGAATGGAAGACATATTACAGAAATTGAGATGATTTTGACTGGTTTTACAATGAAAAGTACCTTGAAATTGAGCTCAAAGTAGCAGAAATGTTCGATTTTTACCAAAGTTCAAAAGTAAACAAATCATGCCAAGCGTCCAATACACGTCAACTGGTGAGTCAAATATTCTTTCGCAAGTGCGCCAATATTATTTATACCATTTTTTACACTAATGCAGTAGTCTGTATAACAGTAAATCTTCTATTTTTTTTGTGAGAATAAAAATTCAAAGTGGAAAGCAAACGAATGTAAGAGGGGCATTGAGACATGACTAATGAACAGAGGAAATGTCATTTTAGTGCCAGTAATGTCTATCTTGTTTATTCTAGACCCTATTCGGAAATTGGCATCTTTTGAAATTTGTGTGAAATTGGCAAAATTGCTAAATTCTGACCACTGTACTGGATAGTTAAAATTGGTAAATGGGTGGTTTCTTGCACTCATTCGGTAGAAAAAATGGAGTTCTAGCGAAATATTCATGTTTTTTGTCGACTAGTACAGTGGAACTGGCCGAAAATGGGGCTCAAAGTGGGCAAAATCGCCGATGCGTAAACATCATCGAGACCGCTAACTTTGTGAGAGCATAATTCTGTAAGTTTTCCATCAAATTTCATATTTTTGGTGTCATTATGATCGGGAAAATACTCTCTTATCTTTTCATAAGAATTTTTTTTTTTTTTTTTAAATTTGGCTGACCCTGAGAACGAGTCTTGGAGGGCCTGTCGACCCTCATAGGGTTAAAGTGCAGGCATTGTACTTTCCATTTCCAGGACTCAAGTCTGACTAACTGGTTTCCCTGAATCCCCTCACAAAATATTACCTTACTCATACTTCAACAGTTAGTCAGGTCCCAAAAACCATTCATCTCCATTCACTCCTATCTAACATGCTCATGCATGCTTGCTGGAAGTTCAAGCCCTTCGCCCACAAAACCTTTACCCCCCTCCCTCCAACCTTTTCGGGGGTGACCCTTAGCCTACCTTCCTTCTACAGATTTATACGCTCTCCAAATCATTCTACTTTGTTCCATTTTCTCTAACTGACCATACCACCTCACCAGCCTCTCTTCAGCCCTCTAATACTTATAGTAACTCCACACCTCTTAATTTCCACACTACGAATTCTCTGCATACTTAAACTACACATTGCCCTTAGACATGACATCTCCATTGCCTCCAGCCGCCTCCTAGATACAGCCTTTACAACCCACTATTCTCTTGTACATTCCTTTCTTTGTCCCCATGGATACGTTCTTTGTCTTCACAGATATCTCAATACACCACTCGCCTTTTTTCCTTCATCAATTCTATGGTGAACCTCATCCTTCATAAACTCATCCGCTGAGAAGTCAACTCCCAAATATCTGAAAACATTCACTTCTTCATACTCCCTCCCTCTAATGTGATATCCAATTTTTCTTTATCTAAATCATTTGATACCCTCATCACCTTACTCTTATCTACATTCACTTTCAACATAACTTTACACACTCAAATTTGTCCCCTAACCTTTGCAACTTTCCAAAAGCACAGTATCATCAGCAAAAAGTAACTGTCAACTCCCATTTTGTATTTGATTCCCCATAATTTAAACCCACCCCTCTCCCCAACACCCTAGCATTTACTTCTTTTACAACCCCATCTATAAATATGTTAAACAACCATGGTGACATTACACATCCTACTTTTACTGGGAAGTAATCTCTCTCCCTCCTACACACCCTAACCTAAGCTTCACTATCCTCATAAAAACTCTTTACAGCATTTAGTAACTTACTATTTATTCCATACAGTTGCAACATCTGCCACATTGCTCCACTATCCACTCTATCATATTATTTTTATTATTTTTTTATTATCACACTGGATTCCCACCAAGGCAGGGTGGTCCGAAAAAGAAAAACTTTCACCATCATTCACTCCATCACTGTCTTGCCAGAAGGGTGCTTTACACTACAGTTTTTAAACTGCAACATTAACACCCCTCCTTCAGAGTGCAGGCACTGTACTTCCCATCTCCAGGACTCAAGTCCAGCCTGCCGGTTTCCCTGAACCCCTTCATAAATGTTACTTTGCTCACACTCCAACAGCACGTCATGTATTAAAAACCATTGTCCCCATTCACTCCTATCAACACGCTCACGCATGCCTGCTGGAAGTCCCAAGCCCCTCGCACACAAAACCTCCTTTACCCCCTCCCTCCAACCTTTCCTAGGCCGACCCCTACCCCGCCTTCCTTCCACTACAGACTGATACACTCTTGAAGTCATTCTGTTTCGCTCCATTCTCTCTACATGTCCGAACCACCTCAACAAACCCTTCCTCAGCCCTTGGACAACAGTTTTGGTAATCCCGCACCTCCTCCTAACTTCCAAACTACGAATTCTCTGCATTATATTCACACCACACATTGCCCTCAGACATGACATCTCCACTGCCTCCAGCCTTCTCCTCGCTGCAACATTCATCACCCATGCTTCACACCCATATAAGAGCGTTGGTAAAACTATACTCTCATACATTCCCCTCTTTGCCTCCATGGACAAAGTTCTTGGTCTTCACAGACTCCTAAGTGCACCACTCACCCTTTTCCCCTCATCAATTCAATGATTCACCTCATCTTTCATAGACCCATCCGCTGACACGTCCACTCCCAAATATCTGAATACATTCACCTCCTCCATACTCTCTCCCTCCAATCTGATATTCAATCTTTCATCACCTAATCTTTTTGTTATCCTCATAACCTTACCCTTTCCTGTATTCACCTTTAATTTTCTTCTTTTGCACACTCTACCAAATTCATCCACCAATCTCTGCAACTTCTCTTCTGAATCTCCCAAGAGCACAGTGTCATCAGCAAAGAGCAGCTGTGACAACTCCCACTTTGTGTGTGTTTCTTTATCTTTTAACTCCACGCCTCTTGCCAAGACCCTCGCATTTACTTCTCTTACAACCCCATCTATAAATATATTAAACAACACGGTGACATCACACATCCTTGTCTAAGGCCTACTTTTACTGGGAAATAATTTTTCCTCTTTCCTACATACTCTAACTTGAGCCTCACTATCTCGTAAAAACTCTTCACTGCTTTCAGTAACCTACCTCCTACACCATACACCCGCAACATCTGCCACATTGCCCCCCTATCCACCCTGTCATACGCCTTTTCCAAATCCATAAATGCCACAAAGACCTCTTTAGCCTTATTTAAATACTTTTCACTTATAT